TGATGTTGATGTTGTCCATTCTTTTTTCCTTGAAATTTCTTTTGTTATCTCTCTCTTATTCATTGGTATGCGCTGGATATGTGTGCCTATCGCCTTTCTCACATTTTTTATTATGAAAGTTTTACAGAGTATTAAGAAGACTGTGAACTCACAATCACCGTGCGTCATTGTTTCTTCCGGTGCGTTTCAGTCATTTATCTTTTTTGTTTTTTTTCTTCCTTAAATTTATTGGACGTGCTTATGTACGTGAAACGGCCAAACGCGGCAAAGATTAAATGTACCTGAAAGAAACACACATAATCAAACGCAACTTAAGAAGCATTGACGTCATGTAAAGGAAGGAAAAGACCATGTGTAGGAAGTAGACCCTCCTAATTTAGTGTTATGATTCAACGAAAGTTGGAGAGGATTCTTGGCAGAAAGGCTGCATTGTTGATTGAGCGAGGTAATTGTTCGCTCTAACAAAGTCAAACGAACTTCATTCTAAGCTACTGGAACCTTAAACTTTGCTTGTCCTATTTTTCTAGAGGACACAGTGCGAAAGGATTTAATAGATGAATAGCAGTTTGCTTAAATTGAGACGTAAAACTCGATTTGTAGTCGACGTATTTTATCTATTGATTTTCAAACCGCTAAGATGTTAAGAAATTTCTGCGTGCAGAATGCTCGCGAAAAACAATGTTCTCTTGTGCAAGTGGAAGCTCCCGAAGCCATGTGCTTACGTTATCATTTGCTTTTTGCAATCGCTTTTGGGCTATTCTATTGTCATGGAATCGTGACCAGCGTACATTGTGTGACCACGAATCTAGCCAATTCTATTCCTTAGGAAGCTCAGGTATTCAAGAACAACAGTGTGGCAAGACTTTTCTCGCTGGACAATCACCACTATAATGGGTCAAGGCATGGATAACGAATTACCAACACGATCTGATAAGTCATCTTTGACAGAGAATTGGATCTATCGATTCATGATGAAGACCATTTAAACTCCAAGTGAAATCGAAGAGCAAATCGACTCGTTTTTTACGTTTAAATGCATTCTATCACTTAAGTTAGCGAACAGGGTTATTTTAATAGACCTCTCTTTGAAGTACCCATATGGTTTGCAGCCTGTAACATTTATATTTTGACTGTCTTTTGAAATGAAAGCTCTCGCAAAAATAGAAGTAATCTTCATTGGCCTTCAATGCCCGGAGTGTTTATGAACGGTTCTTAAGTGTTGGCGTAGCCAGATTTTCCAGCGTTCTGGGTCCTCTCCATACATTGTAGTATCAGAAATGCACTCCAGGTAGAGAATATGAAACAGTATTTCAAACAGGCACTAGTGCAGTAAATTCGGTATTACGGATGAAAAATCAGGTATAAGATAGAATGTCAACGATTCCCCTTTATAGAGCCACAGATTGGAATTTTGTGGGAAACTCCTAAACAAGCTTACAAGAATTATTCACTTAGTAATTTTGAGGTCTATGTCTTTAAAATCCATTTACTATTACTTCAGCTTGTCACTGTTACTAGACAATTTAGCAACGTTCAGTAAGCTTGGGCTGAGAAAATCGAGAACTAACATCTACCAACACTGAAACTTTCAAAAATTGTTCGTTTTGTCTTTCCTCGAAATACTGAACGTTAGCTTTGACTCTTTTGAATTTGAACTTCTGAAAAATTTTGAACGGAAGGACATACAGATTTATATCTTAAGCTTTTCTCATAATAATCGATACCTAAAAGTCAATATACCTAGGAGTAGCCTCTTGCTTACGACCTTTATGCAATGATATAAGTCATTCATGTGAACAAAAGTCGTTCTTTTGGTGTTGCCTATGATATGCCTAAGATACAACGGGATAACAGGCGCATGGAAACCCAAATAAGTCCAGTTATTTTCTCTTGTAAAAATCGGTAGAATCTCATGAGAGTTCTTGCCCTACTTTTTAAAAACAACCAAACATGGAGATGTTTGGAAGGAATAATCTCACCACTCTTTTTACCAATTATATCTTGAGAACGGAAAATAACCAATTACGAGTAACATAGGAATTATCTTCTTGAGATTTCCTAGCTGTGACAAAAGGCATTTTTGAAGAGATCATATTCGAAAGTATGGAGTTTTTATAAATAACTATCACAATTAACAGAGCGCGAGGTGTTATCATAAGACTCGTAAGCAGCAGTGTGACGAGGGTCTGATTGTGAAGGTCGTCCATCTTTATCAGATCGCTCTTTCTTCTGTCTCCTCTTAAACTCTTCTTTGGTGAGAGAGGGATGCATGTAGGAAAAACCGGAGGTGGAGTACGGCGGAGCTTCTTTCCGTAGCCTACCGGAAGAAGGAAGAAATTTTAGTCGTTTTCTTAGGTAGAGGCCATCTTATTCGGTACCGCACAAGAAAGACCATGTTTAAGAACCATTCCAATTAAATACGAAGAATTCTAGACTACTTCTGACATAACCACTGGCGCTTTTAAGTTCTGTATCGGAACCAAACTTTTTCTAAAGAATAAAAAC